ATTCTATACTCCTACATATATTTTTTATTTCACTGGTAAGATATTTTATTGATTAATAGAGAAAGATCACCACACTGAATAAAAATGACAAACTGACACTAAAATTATTAGCACCCTGGACTGCTCTATTTTTAAAAAATAAAAATGTCTCTAATATTGATTACTCTCAGGAGCGTGGTCATAAACTCTGGAAATGTGCATCAATACAAAGAGGCCAAAAAATTAAGCTTGTTTAATGTTCAGCTGCTTTTTAAACAAAGAGACACCTTGACTACTTTCCAGATAACCAGTAAATTTTTTGTTGTAAGACTCTATGAGTTCATGAATTAGTGATGTTAGGTGGAAAATGCATGAGTAACACAAGAATAAACTTTAGTATACACAATATATTGTATTAGAATTACGTGTTGTTCTTTAGTTGTATCATAAAAACTACACACATAGACACACACTTCTTCACTATGGCAACGGCGAGTCCCTTGCATCACAGAGCCCAGTAATACAATGTACACTCATAGTAACCCACTAAATTATCCACTCATCTAAAGACCATTCTATAATCATTTGTTCACTAATTACTGGATTTTCATCTTCTCTTAACTTGATTATAAACATTTACGGAAAAAGTTTTATCTGCTGAACAAGTCATTTAATACTCTATGTACTTGGTGAAACTAGCTCACTAAACAAACACCATTCATTTGTAAGTTTTGCTATTGTACTTGCTATGTGCTTTTGTACTTTTGTGTATGTGCACATTTCTATTAAACACTATCTAATAGACATTTGTGGTGCAATCATTTATTAAAGTGACTGTCAATTTACCCAGTTTTATGTTCAGTGCTGCAGATAAAGGAAAAGACGAGTTTAGTACGTTGCTATTCCCCAATCACATTACAGAACACAAGAAACAGCACACACATTAATAGCCTTATCTTTTTTTATTTGCCTTGCAAATCATCAGTGGCACCCTTAAAAAGAGAACATGCATAAAAATGGGCATAAAAACACAAAAGCATTCCTTGTGCAGCTCAAAATATGCATTCACTGCAGAATTCTATTTGCAAGAGCTCCAATGTGTAGTGACCAGGACAAGAGCATCCATTATCTGCAACCCCAGGAACTTGGTGCTGCTGTGGCATTGTTGAGGAGGAGTAGTGTATGACTGTGCAGCTTCTCCTGAAGTTAGTTTACACTTCATTAACCACTGTGCAAGAAGGCCTCCATGCCTCTTTTCTTTGTGATCCAAAGGATACACTTGAAAAAGGAACTTTTTTATTTGAGAATTATTTGAGAAACTGTAAGAATCTCTTACTGATGTTCGGCCAGAATGTACATTGTCATGTTTGTTGAAATCCAAACACAGCATATGAGAACAAAAGCCTCGTGCCGACTGTGTAGCACAGTAGCAGAGAGGTGATACATTTTTGTTTGTGACTTTGCAGTCATTGAGTCGACCGTGAACTGCTCATACCAAGTCATACCAGAGTCAAATGTGAGAACATATGTCTGACAGCTACAGCTTGGCTGAAGTTGGCTCATGCAACAATACAGTTATCCTAAGCACAACAGCAAATCTACATCAGAATGGTGGATAAAGAAAACCAGTCAAAGTCCACAGATCAATCCGCTGTGCATAAACTAACACCCCCAAGCCTCAATGACGCCTCACTGTGAAGAACGTGGGGCCAAAATTACTCGATAGTGATGTGAAAGACTGATAAAGTCATACAGAAGACATAGAAGCAAAAGAATCCTCTCATTGTTTTCTGCTGTAAGACTGAGTTGGAGCCCTTAACTACTTTCTCAAGCTTTTTCTGTCATCCACTACTATCATCTATCATTAAAAGTGGATTGCTGTTGGGGCGTCTCCATAGCAACTTTTTTAAATGTCATGTTAATAACTAATCTGCCTCTATTCCCGTTAAGTGGATCAAACATTACTTCAGTGAAAATGAAAGTAAAAGGGCAGCTCACGCACCTGAGATGTAACACGAGTATATAAAGCATTTACAGCATGTCACCTCATTATGTTTTCAGCCCTCTCTTGTACAGTACAGCAGTTCTTCCTCCATTAATCAGGTAGGCAAGATCAGTAACACTCTACAGTAAGATGGTTAATATTTAGTAGATTTTATCAATAATTTAACAATAGGAAAAATCCATTTGATTCTTCCTTCATCAATAATCCTCTGTCATTTTTTCTCAAGTTGATACATCTCTTTTTCCAGCAATGGCACCATCAACTTTGTCCAGAAACAGAGGAGTGACTGGCGTCAGAAACACCAACAGATTGATTTTATTCATCTTCTCTCTGCTGTCCCTGGCTTATGTTGCAAACTCACTGAGCAACAAGGAACTTTTGGTAAATGAATTCTTGCTAAAGCTGCTTTTACACTACATCAGTTACACCTTTATGTGTCACTGCAAGTCACCATGAGCTCATTGAGGTAGGCATTTTTTTATGTAGGGCTGAAGCAACTGAAACACTTACAACCGCTTTCTGGAAATTTCAGGAATTCAAAGAAAAACTTCGGAAAGCAGAAGAAAATGCAGCCAAAATGAAGGTAAGTCAGTGAGTTTCATGTTGATCACATGTCAGTGGAATTTGAAACAAGAAATGCATATTAGTCATATCTTTGTTGATGTTGACGTACAGTGAGAGAGCACACAATACATATACCAGTAAATCTGATCTGTGTCCGAAATGTTTTTTCATCAGGCATACAGAAAAGCAACATCCTCACAAGAACTGGATGAAAAAATGAAGCAGCTTCATTCTTTTGTGGAACTAATGAAGACGTCGTCATGGTCAGAGGATTTTCCACCACTGGTGGATTTGGCAAACAGTTTGAGTCGCTTCATTGACAAAACCAAGGTTTGGTTAAAAAAGCAAGACGACAGCTTCGCTGCGACAGTAATTGAAAATGAAAAGGAACTGGAGAATCTGAAGAACATCCTACGATTCCTAGAGGAGCAAAATGATGAACTGTAACAGTTTCCGTGTAACTTCTTTGAATTAAATATAATAAAAAATATTGTGTTTACACATTGGTTTAGAATCCTGAGTAATTATTATTATTATTATTATTATTGTTGTTATTATTATATTTCTGGTTAATAAGGTGGTCAGAACTTCTATTTTAAACCTTTTTTAACTTTATTTTGCTTTTACTGTTCCTGACTGTTTGTTTTCTGTTAAGTAATAACACCCTTACTTATTTATACACTTAAATTTCACAAGTATGAAATTTATGTACTTAACAAAAGTAGATTAAACTTAAATTAATATGTTCATTACATGAAATAACTATGTATGCAGCCTCAACACATGACGGGTGTATTCTCTGCAAAACTGATATCAGAGCTCATTGAGCTGATACAGCTTGATTTTTACATCTAGTCGTTGATATTATAGTTATTCATTAATGGCACTGTCTTGTTTTAAACTAATTGCTCTGTTGGTGATTCATTGTGGTACTTTAACGTTAATTCTACTTAACTTGTCAATGAAACCCTGTAAAATTACTTTAATCATCTCCAAGTTACTACCCAATGGTAATAAAACCCAGTTAAATGAGCAACACTAGCTTTCACATGTCACATGCGCTGGAGCCTATTCCAGCTGTCATAGGGCGAGAGGCGGGGTACACCCTGGACAGGTCGCCAGTCTGTTGCAGGGCCAACACACACTCACATTCACACCTAGTGGCAGTTTGGATTATCCAATTAACCTATCCCCACAAGTTGCATTTCTTTGGACGGTGGGAGGAAGCCGGAGTACCAGGAGGGAACCCACGAAACACGGGGAGAACATGCAAACTCCACACAGAAAGACCCCGGCCTGATGGTGGAATTGAACTCAGGACCTTCTCCCTGTGCGGCAACAGTGCTAACCACCGTGCTGCCCTGTCCAGTATTACTGGACAGCTTGATATATTTTATGACAGTAATATCACTATAGTTTTTTCTGGAAAGCTGCCATTTTGCAATACTCCTATATTACAGTGGTACTTTAAGTCATACCAAACTCAAGCATAGAAAACTTACTTGTAGTTACTATACTTCATCCACCTAGAATTTTTGCACTGCAGCCTGAAAGATGAATGATTAACATAAACTGATGATTACAAAACATTTAGCATGGGTCCATGCTTGATTTAACTGATTTTCCTTCTCTATCTGAAAATACTCAATATATATAGTATGTGGTTCCACAGTGTAGTGGTTTACACATTTGTTTTACATATGAAAGGTTGCTTGTTTATTTCCAACTGGAGACACAAAATCCCCTTTATTTATTTTATTTTTACTGCATTGTCAAAGTCTGCTGAACGTCACTTTATCTGAATCTTAATCTCTTAATTACTTGTGCTTCCACACTGTGGTCTTACTCTTCCATCTTGTCTTTGTATCTTCTATTCATTGCATCATTTTCAATAGTGAAAAACAGTGCAAATGATTTTCGAATTCAACTACAACTACTGTCTGCCAATCATTGACAAATATAGTCTGCCCTATTGTACTCAGAATATAATCATCAACGCGCTTTCAGCTTTGATACAAGACACATTATCATTTATGATTCATTCAAAATTTTAAGACTGTTCATTCTTTTGGACAAGTGGACCCTGCTGAATGGAAAGCTCCAGCGTGCTGTGTATACCATATAGATAGTAAATGTAAAAGGAGGGCAGAAAATGCATGAAGCAGGAAGTTAAAGGAGTGTTTTTATAGTGTTTTATGTTAACTGATAACCACATATTCCAGTAAAGTGTTCAGACAAATACTACTCCTTTGAAAACAAAGGTGAAAGGGCAGCTCACACACACCCTGTAATATGATTGAGGTGATATCAAGAGTATATAAAAGCATTTACAGCATGTCCTCTCATTATGTTTTCATTCTTCACCCGCACGGCAGCTCTTGCTCAGTTGATCTAACAGGTAATTTCATTAACATTGTTCAGTAAGACTGAGTTAACCTTATGTACCCACAGTTTTCTGTTTCCTTTTTGTCTCGAGCTCTTGCCATTTTCAGAGCGATGGCAGCAGCAGACTTATCAAGAACCAGAGAACCAGCCAGAACTACCAAAGGCTTGTTTCTCATCTTCTCTCTGCTGTGTCTTGCTTATGTCACAAGTTCGCTGAAGACCGAGGATCAACTGGTGAATAATTCTTGAATACTTTCCTTTTTTTTAAAATATAAATCGAATTATAGACTTATTTTTACAGATTTACCCCACGTAATGATGGGCTCATTAATTTTTCTTTATCTGCAAAAGGTTATATAGATCCTTCAGCTGCTGTTATTTTCTCAAATTTCAGGAAAAAATGAAAACTGCATTAGAAGAGGCTGAAAGACAGAAGGTGGGTCAATCAGTCTCCGAGTTGCTCACAAGTTGGCTTTGAAAGTCTTCCATATGTGTAGGAAGAAAGGTTATGTTTAAAAATATAAATTAACAATTGCATTTTGCATCGTACTGCCTTAGTGACATTTAATATATGTTTTTATAGGCAGAAGAGAAGTACAGAAATGCAACCATCACAAAACTATTTGATCTTGCAAGTTCACTAACTAACAAGGAGCAGATGGTAATTTCATATTTTCTTAACCTTTTATTTTGATGTGAAACAATTACAAATGTATTTCTATCATAAACTCCAGTATTTTTATATCATGACAACCTCATTGACTACTGGACCTTCCTACATTTGCAGTTGTTTTCACTGAGCTCATAATCCTTATGGTTTGTTCCCTGCTGGGAAATTTCAGGAAATGTTCAAGGAAACACTTCGCAAAGCTCTAAAACAAGAAGAGAGACTGAAGGTGGGTCAGTCAGTCTCCAGATTATTCAAATGTTGACTAAGACAGTTTGTCATTTGCAAACCCTTTAGTGATGTTACACACAGCATACTGACAGAACTGCAACTGAAGGATGTGTAGGTAATAGGAGTGTACACAACACAATGTAACAATAACAGTTTTATTTTTCTCCATCAGGCAGAATACGAGCACAAAATTCGAACTGCCTCAAAACAATTTGATGAAATATGGAGGCAAGTTCTTCCTCAGCTGGAATTAGTGAAGACATATGATTCTCCACCACTACGGGAAATGCTAAACATTGTGATGCGTTCACTGAAGAATAGCAGAACCTATTTAGACAAGAAGATGGCTTTGCTGCAAGAACAGTAAGAAGCCAGAAAAAACTCCATAAAATAA